TTATGTATTGTTCCCTTTTTTTAAACCTTTTGCTTCACGGATTGACAAGATTAGACGTTCAAGCCTTTGAACTTTTAGGATTACTTTGAAACAATGTGGTATTTTCTTTAATTTCTTGAATTTCAATATTTGAAACAATGTGTTATTTTCTTTAATTTCTTGAATTTCAATATTTGATTTCATTGTTCATCTCACCTCTATTTTTCTTATTTAATTTTATTTTAATAGCACACTAATTTTCTATAATTTTATTATCTAATTTTCTATTGACATTAGAAGTGGGCATAATGAAAATTAAAGTAACAACCATTATTTCAGGTATTTATTTTCTACGTACTCATTTTCAATCAAATATTCACGCAATAAAATATTTTAACATAAATCCAATATTTGTTCATTTTTTTTAACTGCACATCCTCCAAAAAAATTATTATTCAAAACTTCATTTTATCCAAATAATGGTTGTCAAACATGGGCTAAATGTTTTTATCTTTATATATTAATTAATTTGAAAATTAACTTATTTTTCAGGTATTTATTTATTTATTACAACTGGTTCAACATCGGTTCGATCTTTTGACCATTTCCTTTTTTGAATCAATGCTCGGGTTGATTTTGAAAATATTGGTACACTGAGAAAATAGTTAAAATGGAAAATATTTTTCATCAAATTTTCTATTTTAAGTCTTTCTTGACTCTTGATGACTCCAGTGTATCTCTATTAAAGTGAAAATCTATAAATAAAGTATAGTTCATTTTTTGCCTTCGTTTAGTGCTAGTTGTGTAAATTTTCCTTCAATTTCTATTGAACATTTGAACTACCAAATTGCTCAATATTCTGAAAGTTTTGTCATAATTTGTAATTTGTGCAGTTTATTCATGTCTCTTGCTAGAATGTGCTCAAGTTTCATTAACTTCGTTTTTTGTTTGATCAAATGTTCTTCGATTAGGCTTAAAGCTAAGGCAATTTAATTTCTCTCCACCTTTAATTTTGACAATCTGGTTGACAAAATGAAAAATGGGAGATTTGTTAACACTTCAATTGTAGCCGCGCGAGACATTTAAGGTTAAATTATATTATTGGTCATTAAACTTTGCTCCCAATTACTACTCACTCACTTTGTTCCTTTACATTTAAAAAGAAAATTTACTTCACAATCATGTAATAACAAATCATCACATAATTGATACGCAACACCTTAGAAACAAAAATGTAAAATAAAGGTTATGACAATTGTAAGGAAAATAATGAGCAAATTGTCCAACTCAAACCCATACTACCAAGCCCAAGTGAGGTTCCAACCCAAAACCAATTGGCAATGGGTGGAGTAACACACTTGGGGTTATATAGTGGATTTCTTTTCTTCTCCTAACTGATGTGAGACTTTTTGTTTACTCCCAACAATCCTCCCCTCAAACGAAGGACAACATCATTGTGGCCTCCCCTCAAACGATAATCCATTCGCCAATCATCTTGTACCGCCGTTATTACCGACACCCTCGACAA